GAATCGGTCACTAAATCAATAATTAAATTAATTATTAATTTAGTCTCTTTTATATATATATATATATATATATATATATATATATATATATATATATATACTTGTATGTTAATAAAAATGTATTTCAATGTATTTATAAAAAATTAAAATTGTTTTAATTACTGAATTGATATTTTAAATTTATATTAATATCTTGGATAATTTAATAGTTGGATATATATTTTAAGTTTATATTAGTCATTTTTATATAAAAGTGTAAAAATAAAGTGAACTTATTTTAAAATTTAATTAAACATAATAATATAATATAGTATTAACCATAAATATGTGAAGATTTATTAAAAGATTTAGTTAGAAATTAATTTTAAGTTTTATTGTTTTTATTTAAAAAAAATCGTTGAAAAAATTTAAAATAATTAATTAAAGTAAAGAATTTTAATTTAATAAATGTGTTAATATTATTAGAAGAATTAAATTTATATTAATAATTATATAAAATTATAGATATATTAAAATTTAAATTATTGGTAATTTTTTTAATTATTAAGCTAAAATTTGATAATATTAATAAATTAAAAATAATATATATATATATATATATATATATATATCACTTTAATTTTTTTAATTAAAATTAATTTCATAAAAAAATTAATATTTGAAAATTAAAATGCAAAAGTATATATATTTATCTTTTATTTAATTATACTTTTACACCTAAAAAAAGAAAAAATAATAAAATTTTCTTTTATTAATCATTTTTATAAAATAAAAAAATATATAATAATTACTTTTATAAAAAAAAAATTTAACGTTCTTGATTCTTTAACAGATTTGTTTTAACTGATACGACAACGTTTATATCATTAAAACACTTTACAAAAAATCTTCTAAGTTGATTTAATCGTATAGTTTAGCGATTGATCGATTGAAATCTTCACATAACTTGTCTCGAAAACTTTTTCAATGTTATTTTAACTGATAAAAATAAGTTTTAATCGATTAAAACGCATTAGTGCAGAAATTGTTTTAATCGATTGAAACGAGATTTAATCGATTAAAATAGTTCTGATCAGTCATAACTGCATTCTGATCAGATCATAATTGAAAAGATATAATAAGCGGTTCCGGGTTAACCGCTATGTAAGTGAGCTTTTAAGAGCGGTTCTGTTTAACAGCTATCTAAAATGTATTTCGCTTGAGCGACACAGGTCTGTCTCGACGAGCACTTCCCCTGCACAAAATTGACATTCTTGGGTTGTATTTACGCAGGCGACTCTAGCTCGCTCGAGCGATATTTGATTCTGATCGATTAGATTTTCCAAATGATCGATCATATTTGATAATTTTTTCAAATAATTAATTATAAACGATTAGTTTTCTAAATTATTGATTAGAATTGATTAGTTTTTCAAATAATAGATTAGAATTGATTAATTTACTGAAATATATACTAAAAAATTATAATTAAAAATATAAATTAGTTAAGAATATTGACTATTGTAAAGATAAAGTAGAACATGGGAGATGAGATGATGATGATAATATAATGATGAAGAACTTAAAAAAATGTAGAATTGAGAAGTTTGAAACAAATAAAAATAAGAAAATAGATATTTAATTACACTTTTAATAAATTTAAGATAATATTAGTTTTGATTTTTATTTTTAAATATTTATTTTAATTATTTAAAACAGAGAAACTATAATTTTAGTTTCTAGCTCACGAATTTAAAGAATTAAATTTATTATTATTTAATCTTTTAATTTGTAGAATTAAACTCAATATAATTGTTAAAAATACTTTGTAGAGGCATTTGAGAAAGCTTTTGTCAAAATACTTTGTTTTTAATTGTTAAAAACATTTGTAGAGGCATTTTGCAAAACATAATTGAGAAGATATGATAGCGGTTCCACTTTAACCGCTATCTAAAGTATAATTTAGATAGCGGTTAATGGTTAAGCTGCTATTAGAAGTGCACTTTTAGAGCGGTTCTTGTGGAGCCGCTATCTAAAATGTATTTCGCTTGAAGCGACAATATTCTCGCTCGAAGCGAACGCCCCTGCACAAAATTGGCATTCTCGGGTTGTATTTCGCTTGAGCGACACTACTCATCGCTCGAGCGAAATACGATCCTGATCGATCATAGATTGAAATGATCGGTCATAATGGAGAGGATATAATAGCGGTTCCCTTATAGCCGCTATACGAAGTGTATATTAGATAGCGGTTAAGGCTTATACGATATACTGAAGTGTATTTCGCTTGAGCGAGACTACTATCGCTCAAGCGAAATCCGATTCGATCGATTATATTTTCAAAATGATCGATCATATTTGATAATTTTTTCAAATAATTAATTATAATCGATTAGTTTTCTAAATTATTGATTAGAATTGATTAGTTTTTCAAATAATAGATTAGAATTTATTAATTTCGAAATATATACTAAAAAATTATAATTAAAACTATAAATTAGTTAAGAATATTGACTATTGTAAAGATAAAGTAGAACATGGGAGGAGATGAGGATGATAATATAATGATAGAACTTACAAAAATGTAGAATTGAGAAGTTTGAAACAAATAAAATTAAGAAAATAGATATTTAATTACACTTTTAATAAATTTAAGATAATACTAGTTTTGATTTTTATTTTTAAATATTTATTTTAATTATTTAAAACAGAGAAACTATAATTTTAGTTTCTAACTACTTGAATTTAAAGAATTAAATTTATTATTATTTAATCTTTTAATTTTAGTATTAAAATTTTAAATTATATTTTATTAAATTAAAATAATTACAATATATTTTTCTACTTTGAGAATGAACAATATAATTAAACTCAAAATTGACAATATTATAATATATTTTTGAACTCTTTTGGATTAATTTTTTTTCCTAATTTTTGATAAAGTTAATTTTAATATTTAAAAGTATTTAACATTTTGAATTCTGAAAGGTTTTCTCTAATAGAAAATTTAAAAACATAATATAAAAAAATAGTTAATGTAAGTTTTCATTATGATCGGTCATAATTGCATTACGATCGATTAAGAGCGGTTCTGTGTAACCACTATAAATTAGTTAAGAATATTGACTATTGTAAAGATAAAGTAGAACATGGGAGGAGATGAGGATGATAATATAATCATAGAACTTACAAAAATGTAGAATTGAGAAATTTGAATTACACTTCTAATAAATTTAAGATAATACTAGTTTTGATTTTTATTTTTAAATATTTATTTTAATTATTTCAAACGAGAGAAACTATAATTTTAGTTTCTAGCTACTTGAATTTAAAGAATTAAATTTATTATTATTTAATCTTTTAATTTTAGTATTAAAATTTTAAATTATATTTTTCTACTTTGAGAATGAACAATATAATTAAACTCAAAATTGACAATATTATAATACATTTTTGAACTCTTTTGGATTAATTTTTTTTCCTAATTTTTTATAAAGTTAATTTTAATATTTAAAAGTATTTAACATTTTGATATAATGAGCATGATAATATAATGATAGAATTTACAAAAATGTAGAATTGAGAATTTTTAAATCTTTTTCTAATATTTATTTTTAAAAATATAATATTATTTTTAAAATTTAATATTTTTTTTCAAATATATAAATATATAAAGATATAAATGTATAAGGATATAAATAAATATATAAATATATCAAAATATAAATATATAAAAATATAAATATATAAATATAAGTTTCTTGTAAAACTTTTCAAGTTATTTTAACTGATAAAAATAAGTTTTAATCGATTAAAACGCTGTGCGAAATTGTTTTAATCGATTGAAATGAGATTTAATCGATTAAAGAGTTACGATCGGTCATAATTGCATTCGATCGATCATAATTGAAACCATATAATAACGGTTTCGGGTTAACCGTTATCTAAGTGAACTTTTAAGAGCGGTTCTTGTGTAACAGCTATCTAAAATGTATTTCAGCTTGAGCGATGCTCTTCTCGCTCGAGCGAAACGCCCCTGCACAAAATTGGCATTCTCGGGTTGTATTTCGCTTGAGCGACTATTGTCTCGCTCGAGCGATGGATGCAACCGCTATTAAAGTAAATATAAACATATAAATATATAAATATATATAAATATGTAAAGATATAAACATATATCTTTAATATTTTGTAAATGTAAATATAATTTATATATATTTTTAAATCTTTTTCTTATATTTATTTTTAAAAATATAATATTATTTTTAAAATTTAATATTTTTTTTTCAAATATATAAATATATAAAGATATAAATGTATAAGGATATAAATAAATATATAAATATATAAATATATAAATATATCAAAATATAAATATATAAATATATAAATATATAAATATATAAATATATAAATATATAAATATATAAATATATAAATATATAAATATATAAATATATAAATATATCAATATATAAATATATAAATATATAAATATATATAAATATATATATATATATATATATATACAAATATATCAATATATCAATATTATCCCCTCATATATTAATATACATTATTAGCATAATTTTAATTTAATTAAAAATTAGAATACAAATATACTATACTATACTAATATACCATTATATTATTTTCATTGTATATAAATTACAAAATTAATAATTTGTATACTATACTATACTAATATATTATTTGTATACTATACTAATAGTATAATATACTATATTATAATATTATTTGTATAGAAAACTAATATCTTTATATATAAATATGAAAACATATAAATATATGTAAAAATATGAAGATATAAATATATAAAAATATAAATATATGTAAAAATATAAAGATATAAATATATCAATATATAAATATATCAATATTTAAATATATATTAAAATATATAAATATATTTTTATTTATAGATTTTATATTTATATATTTATACGGATATACATTTATTTGTATATAAATATAATTTATTTGTAAGTTATTATTAAAAGATCTTAGTAGCTCGAGTGGTTTGAGTTTTAGCCTCAGACTCTAAGGTGCTTGGGTTCGAATCCTGACAATGACAATAAACCACCTAATAATAAGTTAAACTTCTAAAAAATATATTATAATTAAGAGATAGGGAAAATAAATAATAGATATAATAAAAATGTAAATAAATAAAAATAATTAAATGTGTTATTCTTTTTCATTGATTTAGTGAGTGAATCAATGACCAAATCACACTCGATTCGGTCATTGAATCGGTCACTAAAATCGATGACCAAGGAAATAGTGACCGATTCCAGTTGGTCACTATTTCGGTCACTATTTTAATTAGTAACCGATTTTGAACATTTAGTGACCGAATTTTCGGTCACTATTTGGTGTTTTTCTTGTAGTGCTTAGGGGTCTAAGATCTGACCTGTCAGGGGTCAGATCGATATTGTAACGGTAACGACGAAGAAAAGCGTCAGCCAACTGTTTCCAGTTTTGGACCTACCCTCTTTCCAACTGCATATACCAGTTGAGAGCCGTGTCAGCCAAACTCTCCTGGAAGCAGTGGATCAGGAGTTTTTCATTTTCAGCGTGTGCGGCCATCTTACGACAATACAACGTAAGATGGTTCTTGGGACAGGTCAGCCCGGTGTACTTGGGGAAGTCCGGGACTTTGAACTTGGGAGGGAAATGGATGTTCTTCACCAGGCACATGTCTGCTACCTCTTTGACGTCGAAGTTGTGCCCCTCTACTGCCTTCAGTCTTTCCTCTAGGGCGGAGATTTGTTATTTGGACACCTCCGGGGAAAGGATGTGTGCGGTCCGAGCATCGGACTGGAGATCTGCCTTTTGGTCGTAGAAGAATTCTTCTTCTTCTTCCTCTTCATGGTGGGAGGTGCGCTCGGCTTGGGCTTCACCCTTGTTTTGACTTTGGCGCACGACCTCCATTAGTTGTGCCATCTGCTCCCTGAGAGTGTTAACCTCTGCAGTGAGCTTACGATTTTGTTCTTCTAGATTTTCCATAGCTCTTGCTTTTTGTGCACGGGTTCGGATGGGGAGAGGACCAGCCACTTTTTCTAGAATGCCCGAAAGAATTTTATTAATGAATGTTGAATGTGGGATGAAAGATTTCATTTAGATGATGCTAAATGCGCTCTTTCCTTTTATTTTCTCTCTTGGTTTTTCTCCACTCATGATATGATGTAATATGAATGATTTGACTTTGTCAAAGATCATCTTATTTATTTTGGATTTATTTGATTTAGGTCTTTATTTGATTTTATTTTTGTTATTTTTTGTTGTTTTTATTTTATAACCTTTTATCTCTTCTGTCGGACTGCGTGACTACTTAGCTTACAAAGAACCTGAAACCAGGCTAGCTAAAAGGCCGACTGTCCGAGATAAAAAAAATGGCTTTATGCGAAAGAATAATGTTTAACGTCCCTTATCTCTTCTGTCGGACTGCGTGGCTACTTAATTTGCAAAGAACCTAAAGCCAGGCTAGCTAAAAGGCAGACTGTCTGAGATAAGGGTGTTTATTGTAAAAGATATTTTTTGTGATTTTTCTATTGTTTGGTTATGCTATGCAATCAAATGCAACAAACAAATGCGCACACAATTCAATCATCTGTGAACTGGCGAGAAGTCGTTTTAATCACGAGGTAGGGTTTTCCTGCACAAAAGTGCGTTGCCGAAGGTAGGTTCTAACTGTTCTCACCAAGGCTAAGGCCCCCAAGGTGCCCCCATTATAGGGTCCCCATTCTTCAGCCTTCCGACCATGCTTAGCACTAAGGCCATAGTCAGTCTTTGTGCCAAAAGAGGAAGGTTACACTACAAGAAAAAACAAATTTAGCGACCGAATTTTTTCGGTGGCAATTAGCGACCGATTTAATTCGAGCGCAATTAGCAACCGATTTAGCGACCGATTTAATTCGGTCGCTATTTGCAACCGAATTAGCGATCGAATTAATTCGGTCACAATTTAGCGACCGATTTAGCCACCGAAATATAATTTGGCTTCACATTTTTTAGTTGGCGACCGAAATAGCGACCAATAGTTTACGTCGCAAATTTTTGGTCGTTAAATCGGTGGCTATTCCACACTAAAATAAAAAAAATCATTTAACGACTGATTTAGCGACCGAATAACAAATTGAAATAGTGACCGAATTAAAATCGGTCGCTAATGAAAAAATAGCGATCAAATTTAAATCGGTTGCTAACTAATTCAAATAATTAATTATAATCGATTAGTTTTCTAAATAATTGATTAGAATTGATTAGTTTTTCAAATAATAGATTATAATAGATTAATTTGTCAAATATATATTAAAATTTTATTAATAAAAATATAAATTATTTAAGAATATTAATTATTGTAAAGATAAAGTAGAACATGGGAGGAGATGAAGATGATAATATAATGATAGAATTTACAAAAATGTAGAATTGAAAAGTTAAAATTTTTTTTAAGAAAATAGAGATTTAATTATACTTTTAATAAATTTAAGATAATACTAGTTTTGATTTTTATTTTTAAATATTTATTTTAAATTTTTAAAACAGAGAAACTATAATTTTAGTTTCTAAATACTAAATTTAAAGAATTAAATTTATTATTATTTAATCTTTTAATTTTAGTATTAAAAATATAAATTATATTTTATTAAATTAAAATAATTACAATATATTTTTCTACTTTGAGAATGAAAAATATAATTAAACTAAAACTGAAAATATTATAATACATTTTTGAACTCTTTTGGATTAATTTTTTTTACTAATTTTTTATAAAGTTAATTTTAATATTTAAAAGAATTTAACATGTTGAATTGTGAAACGTTTTTTCTATTAGCAAATTTAAAAACATAATATTCAAAAAAATAGTTAATGTAAGTTTTCATTATGATTGATTAAATTTTCAAATTATCGATCATAAGTGAAAATATATAATAGTTGTTCCACGTTAACCGCCATCTAAAATATATTTTAGATAGCGGTTAAGGTTTAACCGCTATTAGATATTAACTTTTAAGAGTGGTTCCAGTGGAACCACTATCATAAACAACCACATTTTTTGCTTATGATCAATTAAATTTTCAAATAATCGATTATATTCGATAATTTTTTCAAATAATTAATTATAATCGATTAGTTTTCTAAATAATTTATTAGAATTGATTAGTTTTTCAAATAATAGATTATAATGGATTAATTTGTCAAATATATATTAAAAAATTATAAATAAAAATATAAATTATTTAAGAATATTAATTATTGTAAAGATAAAGTAGAACATGAGAGGAGATGAGGATGATAATATAATGATAGAATTTACAAAAATGTAGAATTGAGAAGTTTAAAAAAAAATTAAGAAAATAGAGATTTAATTATACTTTTAATAAATTTAAGATAATACTAGTTTTTATTTTTATTTTTAAATATTTATTTTAAATTTTTAAAAGCAGAGAAACTATAATTTTAGTTTCTAAATACTAAATTTGAAGGATTAAATTTATTATTATTGAATCTTTTAATTTTAGTATTAAAAATTTAAATTATATTTTATTAAATTAAAATAATTACAATATATTTTTCTACTTTGAGAATGAAAAATATAATTAAACTAAAACTGAAAATATTATAATACATTTTTGAACTCTTTTAGATTTTTTTTTCCTAATTTTTTATAAAGTTAATTTTAATATTTAAAAGAATTTAACATTTTGAATTATGAAGCGTTTTCTCTATTAACAAATTTAAAAACATAATATTCAAAAAAATAGTTAATGTAAGTTTTCATTATGATCGATTAAATTTTCAAATGATCATTCATATGTGAAAATATATAATAGCGGTTCCACCTTAACCGCTATCTAAAATATATTTTAGATAGCGGTTGAGGGTTAACCGCTATTAGATGTACATTTCTAAGAGCGGTTCCAGTGGAACTGCTATCATAAACAACCACATTTTTTTATTATGATCGATTAAATTTTCAAATAATCGATTATATTCGATAATTTTTTCAAATAATTAATTATAATTGATTAGTTTTCTAAATAATTGATTAGAATTGATTAGTTTTTCAAATAATAGATTATAATGGATTAATTTGTCAAATATATATTAAAAAATTATAAATAAAAATATAAATTACTTAAGAATATTAATTATTGTAAAGATAAAGTAGAACATGGGAGGAGATGAGGATGATAATATAATGATAGAATTTACAAAAATGTAGAATTGAGAAGTTTAAAAAAAAAATTTAAGAAAATAGAGATTTAATTATACTTTTAATAAATTTAAGATAATACTAGTTTTTATTTTTATTTTTAAATATTTATTTTAAATTTTTAAAAGAGAGAAACTATAATTTTAGTTTCTAAATACTAAATTTGAAGAATTAAATTTATTATTATTGAATCTTTTAATTTTAGTATTAAAAATTTAAATTATATTTTATTAAATTAAAATAATTACAATATATTTTTCTACTTTGAGAATGAAAAATATAATTAAACTAAAACTGAAAATATTATAATACATTTTTGAACTCTTTTGGATTAATTTTTTTTCCTAATTTTTTATAAAGTTAATTTTAATATTTAAAAGAATTTAACATTTTGAATTGTGAAACGTTTTTTCTATTAGCAAATTTAAAAACATAATATTCAAAAAAATAGTTAATGTAAGTTTTCATTATGATCGATTAAATTTTCAAATGATGGATCATATGTGAAAATATATAATAGTGGTTCCACCTTAACCGCTATCTAAAATATATTTTAGATAGGTGTTGAGGTTTAACCGCTATTAGATGTACACTTCTAAGAACGGTTTCGAGTGGAACCGCTATCATAAACAATCACATTTTTTTATTATGATCGATTAAATTTTCAAATAATCGATTATATTCGACAATTTTTTCAAATAATTAATTATAATCGATAAGTTTTCAAAATAATTGATTAGAATTGATTAGTTTTTCAAATAATAGATTATAATGGATTAATTTGTCAAATATATATTAAAAAATTATAAATAAAAATATAAATTATTTAAGAATATTAATTATTGTAAAGA